AATCCACCCTTCTTTGAGCTGGAGTCCACCATATTACATTAATCTCATATCCCTTTTTGCCTTACCCGTGCCTTTTCAGACCCCTTTTATCCCCTGCTCCTTTTCCAGCCATCAGCTTTCTCACTCTTCCTTTTGTCCTTCTGTATTTGTTCATACTTGGTTGTTTGTCTCTGTCTTTGTCATGCTGCCTTTCAGAAACATCCTGCTAGGATCGAAACGTCAGGCAGTTGAATTTTTTCTTTTTTCAAAACGCATTGCACGTTTGACTGAAAGGTACTTGTATGTCATCGCAAATTTTCATTGGGGCTAATTCCATTTTCAATTGTTTTGCAATGAAAATATTTCATTTTGTTTGAAGTATAGGAACGGTTTATTCCAGAATGAGACGGTGAATTGTTATACTCAACGCAAAGTATGTTTTTAATGAGGTGCCAGATATTTCACAAGCGTCCTCCTTTCAGGTGCAGCTGGCTGCAGCAGCCAATTATCGACCAGCTATCGGCCAGCTCTTGACCAAAAAATTGGTTCGGCCATAATTGCGGGTAGGGTATATGTATGTCCTAATGTTGCGTTGTGATGTCCACAGCGCTGCTCATAATAACAAGTCGGACTACAGCATGATGATCAGTGTTCCATGCATGTCGCTTGGTTCAGTCTTTTAGCGCACATAAAATGTGATTTTCACAATAACACCAATGGCTAACGTCAAAATTCCTTTATGTTGTCCAGCTCAAAGTTGAGTCTAAATTCATTTGTTGTTGTCAGTTCGTGCGATATTTACCTCTAGCGGGGAGTCAGCGTGATGAGGTGGCTCTTTCCTCTCCTTCCATCTTTGCGATCCGGATTCATGTCCGTGCTTGGTCTACTTGTGGATTGGGTTTATAGCCCCTACCTTATTCCATGGGTTCTACCCAGTATATTTCTCTGAGGTTTTCTTCCCACCTCTAAAACTGTAACTACTTCTCATTGTCTCCTCTCTCTACATGTTTCTTTACGTTCGCGAGCTACAGTGCCAAAAGCGCTCTTAAGGAATACTTGGAGTCATTACCATAAATCAATAATAATAATAACTTCTTGTCAAAAAACGCTGATATTCAACGTTCAGAATAAAAGCTTAACCTGTGCATGTACGTTTAATTTTTCTTGTTACTGTCCAAAATTTATACATGATTTATCTCTTGCACCTGAATATTGCTGCTCCTCCCCTGTGAATGGGTTTGTTCTTTTCTATATAGACATTCTCCGTCTCGTGGGGGGCGCTGATAGCAAAGAAGGTCGACTCGAGATTTTTCTCAACGGAGAATGGGGCACTGTCTGTGACGACTCTTGGGATATTGAGGACGCCCGCGTAGCTTGTAGACAGTTGGGTTTCCGCGATGCCATCGAAGCTACCCAAGGAGGGTCATTTGGAAGTGGAAGTGGGCCGATCTACCTGGACAATGTCACTTGCAATGGACATGAAAACGACCTGATAACTTGTAAGCATAACGGCATTGGAGTCGAAGACTGTGGCCATGGCGAAGATGCAGGAGTCATTTGTGGTACCAAAGGTAATACCTACTTTGCTCGAAAGCCACGAAAAATGGACTTCAACGTTCCCTTACCAACCAGCATTATAGCTGAAACCAAGACGGTTACTTGCTGATTGCCCTTAGCTTCAGAAGACGCGCCTTTAGTTTTGGTTGCCCCTTTAAGTTGGTAACCTTTGTAACGAGTTGTTCGCAAGTAACAAGGGTCAAAACTACTCATCTTCGGCTGTATTGCTTCCGATGCCTCTCATCTACCATCTGTAGTTAGACTGCCTTGTTGCTCTCCAAATACGTATTCAGCTGCTTGTTATCCATGTTGCCCACTTTTGATAAACTATTGGCCGTCATCCTTTTCATTAATAAAGTTGCTTGAACAGAGATGCACTGAATCCATTATTGGAAAGAATCTTCTTTGTAAAATCACAAGATTTACAGGGCAGTTACTTCTCACAAAGCACACACTACAGAAATGGAGACACGCAAGAATGCCTTGATTATGAAGATTGTGAAGTGTGTTTACAGTTTTATTTACAACGTTATTCTCTGCAGTTTCGACCAACAGCAAACAGTGTAAAAACACGCAATCAGATATAAACGCAAACGAGGAGATACCTGAATCTGCCTTTTCTTGTATGTAGTTGAGATGCGACTTGCTGGCGGTGACACTGCTAACGAGGGCAGGCTTGAACTCCTCCTCAACGGTGAATGGGGCACAGTTTGTGACGACTCGTGGGGACAAGAAGAAGCCCAGGTGGCTTGCAGGCAGCTCGGCTTCCCCAGTGCTATTGAAGCTACCTCGAGAGCGTCATTTGGAGAAGGCGTTGGTTCAATACACCTGGACAATGTGGAGTGCACTGGCTCTGAAAGTAACTTACTGAGTTGTCAGCATAATGAGATCGGGGAGAATGACTGTGGCCATGGTGAAGACGCAGGAGTCGTTTGCATTTCAGGTATTATCCCTCGCATTAGCCATGGTTTTTCTGACTAATTATGTTTGACCGAAAAGTACTTTCATTCCTTTCCAAAATATTTTGGACTAATTATCGGACTCCATTTTCAATTATTTTTCACCTAGAGGTTACACTTGGCAGTATTGTATAAACACTTCATTCCATGAGAAATTTCAATATATAGATATATATATCTTGAGTTCATCGAGAGAGTAATTAGAATTAATTAGAAATTATAGAATATTGTAGGGTCACCTCGTGCAAATTCTAGTCGCTTTATTTTTGGGAGGGTAATTCTCCTCACAAAGAGGGCTTCACCTCTTAATCTTTAAAAACAAAAAGGCCATAAAATAGTATAAAACTAATCCATCGTCTTTGACCCATGCCAGTGTCATATATGGATCCGTGTCTTGTCGTGGTAACATGTTCCAGAGTCTACTCTGTGTTCTTGGACTGAATGCAAGGCGGACTCTCATAATGAGAGAGAAGTGTTACCATAATCCTTCATTGCCTCCTTCAAACCGACGTTTGTGCTTGCGTGTGTTTGGAGCAAATAACCAGTGCTGTAAAGCATTTCTCTTATTTCGTAATTTGTAGCTTATGGTTCCTTCCGTCATCAGGGTTAATGGACAAAATGACATGCTGTGTGTTGTTCTTTGAGACGTCTAGAAAAATTATAATAATGACTGTGAAAGCATCAATTTTAAAACATTTAAATAGGCGGACGTTTTGTGCTTCACAGAGCCTTGTTTCAGTGGACCATGTGCCCAAGGAGCAACTTGCATCGACCTGTCGGATGGGTTTACCTGCCATTGTCCTGATGGTTATGGTGGACCGACGTGTGCAGATGGTATGAAAATTGTGTTAATAAACTCGATTATAAGTAGGTTTTCATTAGTGCGTACGTTGGTCTTATATCATATGGGTCATTTCCAAAGGTGCACACGAGTTCTTGTGAATAGTTCACTTTCGGCTTAAAGGACCAGGGCTTGAAGCCGGTATATACTCCAATCAGATGTGAAATTGAAGCGAATGTCAGGTTAGAGAACACTTGAAACGAAACTCGCAGAGTTGAAATGTGTTCGACTCTGTGAATTCACTGTACAGATATTTGATACGACGTCCCAAAATCACATTCTTGCTTTTGTGCCAGATTCGAACATTCTTTTAAAAAATGAAAACAGCGAAAGTTATATCCTCCTGTAGGCAGCAAAACTTTCAACTTCAAGAAAAGATTGGGATTACCACTTCAATCCAAAGGTAAATTCGCATGAGAATAAACAAGTATGTATTAAAATATAAAACTGCTTGTTTTGAAGTTGCTCACTGTGTGACCAGCCACAACCAGTCTGACGTTCTGATGGTTGTATCAAGCCAAAAGGCTATCTACCTTCCTGGTGACTCGGTTGTGTACGACTGCCCGGACGGATATCAGCTCAGCGGGTCTGCAACGAAGTTTTGTCAGGCAAACTTTACATGGTCGGGACAGCCAGCTGAATGTATCAGAGGTATTGAAAATCGTTTTAGATTTTCGGTATTCTTATTACGTAACTATTTCATTTTTTAGTTTGCTTTAGTTCCTCTTAAAGTTCACTAGATACTGCTAACTTTTAAAAACATACAAATGGATTTAAGATGTCTCGGAAGAAGCAAAACATGAATGAATTCATCCAAGATGCCATATTGACTGAATTACTAGGAAATTGATCAATGGAAGAGGCTAGTCTTTTTAAATACTGTAGGTAATGCATAAGAAACAACATAAGCTGATGGATGTAGAGGTGCAAATCTTTGTTCTTTTCAGAAAGCATATCTCAACGGGCAACAACACACTGTTCAAGTTCTTTTAAATTAATACAAATAAATGTTACCTCACAAGACAATTTACAATAAACGCCATTAATTCCTTTATTGCCTCTAATATGCAGTCAACATCCCAGATTGATTTTTTTTAACCTACCAATTTCCACGAGGTCAGAAACTATGAAAAACACTAAAATACAACTGACGTAATTAACAAATACACTGGTCTTAATTTTAATAGATTTTTGTGTCGGCATGCCTTGAAAATGGAGACACGCAAGAATGCCTTGATTATGAAGATTGTGAAGTATGTTTACAGTTGTATTTACAACGTTATTCTCTACAGTTTCGACCAACAGCAAACAGTGTAAAAACACGCAATCAGATATAAACGCAAACGAGGAGATACCTGAATCTGCCTTTTCTTGTATGTAGTTGAGATGCGACTTGCTGGCGGTGACACTGCTAACGAGGGCAGGCTTGAACTCCTCCTCAACGGTGAATGGGGCACAGTTTGTGACGACTCGTGGGGACAAGAAGAAGCCCAGGTGGCTTGCAGGCAGCTCGGCTTCCCCAGTGCTATTGAAGCTACCTCTAGAGCGTCATTTGGAGAAGGCGGTGGAGCAATACACCTGGACAATGTGGAGTGCTNGTTAATGCATAAGAAACAACATAAGCTGATGGATGTAGAGGGGCAAATCTTTGTTCTTTTCAGAAAGCATATCTCAACGGGTAACAACACACTGTTCAAGTTCTTTTAAAATAATACAAATAAATGTTAACTCACAAGACAATTTACAATAAATGCCATTAATTCCTTTATTGCCTCTAATATGCAGTCAACATCACAGATTGGATTTTTTTAACCTACCAATTTCCACGAGGTCAGAAACTATGAAAAACACTTAAACACAACTGACGTAATTAACAAATACACTGGTCTTAATTTTAATAGATTTTTGTGTCGGCATGCCTTGTGTGAATGGGGCAACTTGCCGCAGTGCGTTGGATAGTTTCATCTGTTCTTGCCCTGCTGGCTATGACGGACTGACATGCGCAGATGGTAGAGTAATTATTTTTTGATTCTAAGCTTCCGTGTTTGCTTAACTTCATATATCAAACGAAATCAGTTATGAACTCTTGTGAAAGACGTCTTGTTTTTGTTATGCATCATAATTGATAAAAGGAAAAATCATATCTGAGTTAATAATCTACTACATATTTTGCTTGAGGAAATAAACAAATAAAAATGTTCTATTGTACTCGAGGGAGAAACAATAATTACTTCACTCACAACAAGCATGTGTGTGAAATCCGAGTGAAATTCAACACTTCCCACCTCCAATGTTTTGACAGTTGCCCACTGTGCGCCTACTTCTGACCCGTCTGACCGTCTGATGGTGGTATCAGGACAACAGGCGTTGTATCTTCCTGGTGACTCGGTTGAGTATGACTGCCCGGACGGATTTCAGCTCAGCGGATCCCCAAAGAGGATTTGTCAGTCAAACTTCTCATGGTCAGGACAGCTAGCTGCATGCAGTAAAGGTGCTCTTTTGTTACCCCAAAGTTTTAAAACAATACATGTATTCATTAAGATGGGTAAAGGCTCAAACTGATAAAATTGACAGGGTCCAAGTTAGAACCATTATTTCCAATTTAACTTCTTTGACTTTAAGACAAAATTCATCAATATCATGAGGAAACGACTTGTTTTGCATGAACACAAACTGAACAAGTGTTTTTGCATGCCATGCTGACAAATTCCACCAGGAAAGGCACAAACCCACCAGATTCAACTGCTCATTGCTCCTTATAAGCGACGGTTTAACAGCAGAATGTCCCTACTCGAAACGTGCAGGTACATGTAATACTTTATAAAAGTCATCAGGCTTACATCATACCTTTATCTGCAATGTTGTTTTGAGGTCGAAGTACATTTGGCTTGCATGAATGAGTGGATATACGCAAGTAATGAATGGCGTATTTATTATTTTTCTTTCCTTAATTTGAAGAGATTAATTTTGACACTTGTTTACATTCTATAGCTGATATATCGTTAATGTGAATGAAAAGAAAGATACCTAGATTTGAAAGAGTTTATCAGCGTCGCGGGATACGATATTGTATTACTGCTGCGTTTAGTATGTTATACAGTTATACCGTTCCATAAATTCACCCTCAGGATTGTGAAAGGCACCATATTCTTTAATCAACTGATTAATCGTTTCAGATGCCGTCGTTTATTAAGGGAATCTTTTACACATGTGAGAAATCGCAGACCTAAGTACTGTGTCACCTCAATCGTTGTGATTGAAGACGGCTTGTTAAGAGTCATCTCACTCTTTTTTCTTGTTTTGCCAGCTCAAGAAATGATATCAAGCCCTGTAGTACCAATTGTGGGCGGTGGAGGGGGAGCCCTCGTCTTCATCGTGGCACTCCTCGTTGTTATCACTGTACTGAAGAGGTAGGTTTCTATATTACAACAACATCAAAGGTTCAAATTAATGCACCCGATTCCTATCGCTTGCGATAATTGAAACTTCTACAGTACAGTGTCACGCTACAAGCGTGCCGGTCATGTAATGTAACAAGCAGAAGAATTAATTGCCAACGTGGATAATAATTGAATGTGGTGGGCAAAGAAAAAGCCAAAAAGGAGATTGGTGGAAGATTGGATAAAGGAAAGGATTGCAATTCAGGAGATCCTTGGATCCGTTGTCGACATTTTACCTAGACATTTCCTATTTGCCAAGTAAGTATTGTTAAAAGTGGTTTTATTGAATACCTGAATGGGTGTTATCAACAAAGGTGTAGGCTTCATTCGGTAGTACATGTATTCCTGCCGCGCAATACGATAATATATTAATGGCAAGCGTGGCCACTTTTAATTTAGCTGTAGAAGGTTCACGCATCAACAAAACTTGGTGTACAGAATGATGCCTGAGATCTGACGCGTTTTGGCTGTCTAAAGACGTGTTTCATCTTGGACTTTCTCTTCTGGCCTCTCGTGGAATCTTTCCGAGACTCCCTGTTGACATTCCTTCGCGTCAAACGTCCGTGCGTTCCCACCTGTAGGTAATCTTTAACTCTATGCATGTGGTTGGCCACTTTACCGCAATGCAAAGTCGAACTCGAAATGACAAAGTAACAAGAGACAGGTAAGCGGTAACGTTAAGCGACCGACATTTGTTCAATCTCTTCCTTGCTGCCGAAACTCTGACACAAATCTGCAATGATATTAACATGAGAAAGAAGAAACAAACTGACTCGATGGAAATGTGCACAGCATCACGCTACAAAAAGAAATAGTTCTATCGCGCTCTGATACCCTTCGTCACGACACGGCATTCTATGCATTTTCTTCGCTCATAATGATAACAATTATTATGACAATGTGTCCCTGAGAAACTTGCCAACCTTCAACTTATTATTTGAAAGGCGATGCTGTACCGACCTCTCTTACCCCCACTCGCTATACCTTAATAACGAAGTTTTCCACAGGCTCTGGAAGTTCAACTATGAGTCCCCAGTGTTCAATTCGACGACTTGTTGCAACCACCTCGTGAAAATATGAAGAGCTTTAATCTTCACAGTCAACGGTTGGATGGGGCCACTTCCCCAATGACAATCACATATTCCTAAGGAAATGATTGTTCTACATGGTCTTTGGGAGGCTCAAAGGGCAATTATGTTACTGTAAGAGAGATTTGAGACACCGTCTCCAAGTACCGTATCTAAAGTTGTGTTCATTTGAATTCACGTGCATTTGTATGGAAACAACCGAAACGTTGTGTTCATTTTGAATCATGTACATTGGCTTGAACATAATGTAGTCATTCTTTCAAGGGAGTGACACATTTTTTAGTCAATTAAATTGCTAATTATTATGTCAGCATCTTTGGGAGAAGAGATATTTGTTATAAGAGGGCAGTTCTGCACAACGAGGGCCTTTTCTATTATGATAAAGTGTCTTCCTATAATCAGTTATTCGGGGCAAGTCAAAACAGTCTTGACCGGCGTTTTTCAGTTTCGTTTGTGTCGTTATGAAGTTTTTAGGCAGGAGCCTGGAGGGTCAAGAGGGCCATACAGAAATATACCAAGGCTGTCGGCTTATGGTAGAGCCGGCAATTAAGGCAAAGTGTTAAACTTTCTTTGTTTCCTAATATTAATTTTGCACAAAATTACTCATCTTTGATGCCTGAATAAATAACTACAGGGTAATAATTACACTGAAAATTTGTCACCATTGTGCATGGGGCCTCTCTTCCATGTTGTATGAATAAATCTACAAATGAGTGATTTGTTTTGTTCACTGTGCATTGGTACGTGTAGCCGCAGCGAAAAAGCATGAAAACAGTGATAAAATGGCAAGAGAACTTTCTACAGACGAGTTCGTGGAAGCCAGTGTTGGAGGCATAGAGGCCGGTCTTGGCTTATGAGGGCGATGCCTCGGCCTTGGGGATCTCCGGCCTCGACTAATCAATGGAAGCCAGCTCGAGGCCGCTCAATTTTTTTCGACAATTCAACATGTTTTTTAATCAAAAAGTGTGGATTTTTTCTTATCATGTTACCGACCTTCATTGAGATATATGAACATAAAAGCAGCGTCATCCACGTCAAGTTGCAAGTTTGCAACATTCTTTTCTTGGGTTCCTTTTGTGGTTTTTTCCTCCCTGAACCAAAATCACCCAATGTGCGCACGCTCCGTAACTTCCGTGCAACGGTCACGGCCGCCGCTGCACATGTAGCACCTTGTTGTTCGAGAACCAGTCTAACCCACGTCATAGTCTGGTCCCCTATCTGCCACTTTGCCATGAATGAGTGTTGCGGTACAGGGAACCATGCATGCAGCGCGGCGCTGCACTTGCGTTTTTTTCCCAACGTTGCCTGACGACATACGACTCCCGAGGGTTTACATCGTTTCCAAGCTTGCTCCTATGCTCTAATTTATCAAATGTGTGAAAATGTCTGTGAATTCTCGAATTATAAGATTCTGTTTCAGTGGCCATGAAGAGTCCAAAGAAGTTGGGAAAATGAAGCATAGGGCGAGCTTGCCCTCGGCCTCGGAGGTTGTGGCCTTGACTACGACACTGGTGAAAACTTCATTGGCACCATGCTGTTGCCTTTGGATTAATCATGCTGTAGCCATTGGATTAATTAGGGAAAGTCTCCGCGAACATCTCTGACCTGTTCAAACTAACCGCAAGCGCCATTCAAAACTAAAACACTGTAGAAAAAGATCCGCTCAGTTTTATTTTATTTCATTTTATTTTTTATTTTTTTTATTTTATATCTTTTATGTGACAGGCGAAAATCAAGACGACAAAGCTGCCATCCGTTGTGCAATGGATCTACCTCCGAGATACGTTACTTTGAAATCTCTGAGTTCGCTTCTGGCACGGTCGCTACCAAGGAGCCTTCTTCTCAAGCGAACTATGAGACCACCATCAACGCTTGCGCAGCTGACGACCACGTTTTCTGAGATGCAACGACGGGAGAATCCCCACTAAAATCATGACTTACGAAGCAGGCACAAAGTACTGCAACTTGAAGTGTTTATTGTCATCACTATAAGCTATAAACTAATTCCAAACTATCTATTTCATTAATGACCCCAGGTTCGTAAACTGAACTATTTTAAAGTGATGAACAACTAAATTAAGGATAAGGGAACATCAAATAGATTTTAACTCTTGTATTAACACTAATAATATTTACTCAAGTTACAAGCAGAAATCCAACAGCAGAAATCTTGATGTTCAAATCAAATTTTGCCTGTAGCTGTACGTTCCCACACTCATTTTAAACGGCATAAAAAGAAATTACTAAAAACACATGCTTGCTCTATTTGAAAAGGATTAATTGTTATATAAAATAAACGCAGGTCCTGCATCAACGTTGGTCTTCAGCGAACAACGTCGCAACAAATGGGTCCTTAGTATAGCTTTGCACGGACGAATCGGACGAGCTCCAGGGAACTCACAAGGCTATTGGAGCGAGAGGGAAACCTCAAACCCCATGGGGTACGGCCATCTATATCGGAACAATTTTAAGCAAAATACGTAAAAGTTCCAAGACCAATGTAGCCAAAATACCAACAATTTTAACAATGATAACCAATACCTCTGGCGTCTTCAACATCGATTTCCTGTCACTTTTGACAAAATACAGACAATGAATTTGATAGGGCACCGATCTGCATTTCAATCTCAAAACAACACTGCATTTCTACACATTCAACATTTCCTTCCTGAAAGCCAGTGTCGTCAGATTTCATGAACACAATAATTTGATATTCCTCAAATCATGGAGGAAGGACACAAAAGTTTGAACTGCCCGAGCTATAGCATTTGGCCAATTACCGCTTTCTGGCATGCGCGGTATGTTCATAGCCACAGCGCATCCAGCGCTTGCTACATATCATCAGTTTCACAACTACAAAACCCTTTTCTACCCTATGATGCTGGTAATTTGCATCCTCAAAACTTGTGTACTGAGGTATAGGAAATTGATTATTTATGCATTTGTTTGTGCTCGGTATAATCTCATAACAACATCAAATTTAAGGCTTGCGCAGTTGCTTGCGTTGGGCTGTGTTCCCAAGATCTGTACGTGCAGTTATTGCCATTAATGAACACTTTCTTCTGGAGAGGTGTTCGCTAAATACAATCACGTATTAACTGCGTATTTCACGTCTTGGCCGGCCCTAACACTTACTCTGAAGCTGTTCAGTCAGTCAGTGGTGCTGTCCGTTTCTATGAGATCGCTAAATCCATGTTTATCTCTCATTAATAATTAACTCAGAGTTATTAAGCGACAAATTATTTTCAAAGAGGTTACACTATGCATCATCGTGATTCTGGTATTATGCCAAATGTAAAACTTACACTGTGAAATTTATCAGCATTTTCCAGTGGTGAAGCTTTCGAGAAACCCTTTTTTAGACTATATATTGTTCTTCCTCATTTTCGTGATCAATGCATCGCCTTGTAAGTTGGTTATTGCATGAATATGAAGTGATAGTAGCAGCAATTTTGCTGGGCAGTTTTGCCAATATAATTGGAGAAACGCATCCTTGGATATAGAAATATAGTTCCGTGCACTTTTTACATTTAAAACTTGAGTCTTGACTAGTAAATGGTTCCACTCGACTCGTGTTACCATCATCAAATGCCTTGACTCTTTTAGTCTCTCATCGGAGGGCCCATCCCAAAATGAGTGAAAGTTAAAAAAAGTCCTCAAAAAGCAATCTTCTTTTGCAAAAAAAATTGCATTGACTTATATTGCTGTACCTTTTTCAAGCTTACGGTCAACAACAAAATGGCTGACTTGCCGCAATTTGCATTCACTCGGCGAATATCAGTGCACAGTTTCAGGAATGTCTGATTGATTGCGTATTCCGCGTCTAACAAAAATTAGTCATTTAACATTTATCGACATTAATACCACAAACACTTCCAAATCTTTAACCTTTTCTAGAAAACCATGTAATAAAACAAAAGGCATTCGGCGCCAAGAACTGTTGTCGACGGCTTTCCCACAGTGCACTCCAAAAAGGCCTCTCTGTGGCGACCCCTTGGTGGCGCAGGGTATCGTGAATCGCACGTGTGCCCATTGTCCTTTCTCGTTTATTTTTGTACATTGTTAAAACGCGAAACTTCATTTTCACATCTGTAATCATGATGACTGTTTGTACCAAAAATAAAGAGGAAAAATTTGTTCGTTGTTATGGATAAATTACTTTAATCTTTAAAATAAACTACAACTTTTTCAAACTATCACTTTTGCAACTGTAATCTTTATCAACAGTATTATTGCTCGTATACGTTCCTGTTGAACAATCTTAAACAGCACATTTGAGCACTCAGTTTATTTTATTGTAATGTCAGAGCTGGTATTAGTTCATTGGTCTGCTTTGCAATGTTTTGTCAAAATAAGACTAATTAAAACTGTTTAGAAATACTCTTTGAACCTTCTCGACCAGGCAACTTGACGACATCCCGGTTCTATCAAAACTATAATTAATTTGCATATATCATGATTGATTTACACAGGGACACATGGTTTCTGCCAGGAAGTGAGAACACATGTTCTAATATACCTTGCATGGTTGAAAAGATACTTAAAGGAAAAGGCAATTTATTTGGGCAGGATTACTATTAATCTTATGTTACGTAAACCTGTGAAGTTTACCTTGTTCTTAAAACATCGGAACTGCTATAAACAACGTAGCTTTTTTGAGGAAACAGGATATATCCTCTGTTCGTTTGCTTAATTAAATTAGTTCATTTCGCACTTAACTTAAATACATGTATCACTGAGATATTCACACATCTCAATAACACTGTTAACCCTACGTGATATTTTGTCTTGTAATACACTAATTAGTTATGAGAAAGTACATTGTGGAGCAGATTGTTCTGCCGTATCTTCAAATTCATTAAAACGTCAGTTTCCTGCAAAAAGAGGGATTCTGGGAAAGACCCAGAACAAACTATTTATGATTCCATTCATAGCAAAGAGTTTTAGCCAATCAGGTTCTACGCACCTTGGGCCATTTAGGGCTTGGCTTTGGAACCCACTGCATGTGTCTCATTATATGCAGCGTATCCAGTTTTTTTGTGTCGGGGGGCAAACCCCAAAAAGAATGCGGCTTCAGGCTCATTCAACTTGATGTTGTGGAGAAAAGAATATAATTCTTACTCACAGTCCCGACATCATTCTTTTTATTTGCAGGTGTTGTTTTCTCAGGCTTTCGGTGCTAATACTTGATAAATAAATTTACCGAATACTTTCTTTCCTACTCACCAATTCTTTGTAAAAAAAATTAATAAATAAGCAAAACTTTCCGTCAGGAGGGCAAGTTTCCCCCTGCTCCCCCCACTGGATATACCTCTGCTCATACGTCACCACAACCAAGCATGCACGCTAAGTCAATCACACATAACAACCTCTGCTTTTACCTCATCCTTCATTCGACTTTAACAAAATCGAAAAATCTCCAATTACATGATTTACATTAACAGTGCTGGTGTTTTTAGATATCCGCTTGATCAGAAGCACTCCCTTTTTGGGTAAAAATAAACATGTTGATGGCAGCGTTCATTTTGTTGGTGGCGACCATGGGCGTAAATTGACCATAGGTATATGTAACCCGATACATGGAAATCAGGAATAAGTCACAATTGACTTTTTGAGACATGTATATGGTCAGAAAGAGAATTTCAAAAGCTTTCAAATGATACACATTTGTACACAAGTGTGTTGATGGTAATCTTTCAAACATACACTTCCGAAATATACAGAAGCCGTCACATCGATGTTTTCAACATTTGCACACATCCCTACTTTACTCGGCTATTACGTGGAATGGCCTCAGGGACTTATTCCTGAATTCAATGTCCTGGGACTCATATATCCCCCTCCACACACACAAACTTTTTGAGGTGGGGCTATTGAATCATCCCCACCCATTTTATGAGCAAAAAAGGTTAAGCTGTTTGTAAAGAATTTCTAGGATTTACGAAACTAAATGTTTGCAGTGTCAGGAAAAGGGGAAACGAAGCCAAAAATATACCATTTTAGTGTAAAATTCTGCGTGAATTTGGAACACATCACAGATTTACATCTTTATCATAAACATCGCTCCCTTTATAGTGTATATGGCGCAGCCCTCCCCTCACCCCGCTTTTCAAATTTCCATGGCCAGGCAAATCAATCCCTCAGACTTTTCTCCATATCCCCTTCCCCCAAGTTCCAGTACAGATTTACGCCACTGGTAGCGACGCCACCGTAGGGCATGCATTTCACAGTAGTCTGTAAAAAGTACAGTTCCCACCAAGGAAGCTAGTCTGGTTCTCTCACCAAAGATTCCCTAACGTCCTTGATAAAATCTTAGGTCCGGTATCACCCACATATAAATAGATCATGACGCCATCTGTCAAGGTTTATACAGTGGATCTCATGTTTAGATGTGCATGCAGGCTGTTAATGTTGGCAGTCCCTTTGAAAACATGCCAGAAACTTCAAACAGTGTCTAGGCAGGGAGCAGCATTGTGTTGCACGTGGGCAGCAAGGAAAAGAAAACTATGTATCTCTCTTTATGAGTACTGACACAGCCGGAAAATACCCTAACATCAACGATGTTATCCAAATGTGGACGGGACAAGTTCGGAATAGTTTTGCTATTTTGGGAAACTGGCGGAATTCCTCCAGGTTTGGTCACGTGGACATTAGCTGATGCTGTTTTCGACAAGGATAGTGGACTGGTCCCTGTCATATTATATAGGGAGCCGTAGCTAGCTGCGGTTTAATGTGTGTGGTTAGCCTCGTCAGTTTGAATGCTGAATACTGAAGTTTCTGTCAGGCCAATAGCCATACTTTAACAAGAATAAAACACAAGTACCTGTCCTTGCTGAGCCTCCTTTGAGCACAGTGTGGTAATTTTATTTCAATGGATATCATCGATTAATCACTTACTTCAAATCAGTGGTTATTTGTTAAATTTTAGATAAATGAACAATTTATGGTTAAGTTATTTTCTTTAAATAAGAAGAAAAAGCACATTATTCTATCAGCTCCTGCTGGATTTTTGCACTGAGCTGGCATCGTTTCCTCATCTACATAAAACCAGCAGGACTCTGCTGATACCGGACTCTAATTCCTAATAAATAATACATGTATTTATTCCTATAAAAAAAAACGTTTTAGTGAAGGAGTCAAAAGAAGTTAATATCGAAAAAAATCCTAACATTTTGTGCAAGAATTTTACTTTCATTTTCCCAAACACCCTTGTCCATTTTATTTGCTGGCTACCAGAACATACAAGGAAAAGTCTTTGTTCTTGTGGGGCACTGAATGGTACCCCTTAGATCTTTCATGAATACGTTTTTGGAATTTACTCAAAAAACTTTTACATGGGGGACATTTGGTTGAAATATCAACCCAAGAAAGTCCGGTTTTAAGTGGAAGCGATTTGGAAGCTCCACTTCACACACTCCCCACATCAATGCAAAACGTACGGATAGATGGTCCATGGATGCGACGTTCAATGTCTTAGATATCACAATATTCATCACACACTTGGTCCTGGCCTGATTAGCCTTGGCTGATTGATTAGCCCGATTGGTGCCAAATAAGAATTGAAGCAAAAGTAATGCTGGCTTGAGTTCAGCGTAGCAACATTGTTCACATGTTAATACATCTATTTCGTCTTGAGAATGGTGTTTACAGAACAGCTCAGTTTTAACTCATTTTGCAGGCTAACCCGAATTTGCCGGTTTCCATGTGCCGGATATCAACATTTCCGGCACGTGACCAGCAAAAAGTTAATAAAATATATTTTATTCACCAGAAGAGCGTGGGAACATAAGGACAAGGAAGTTCGTTAAAAAAATACATCTTGAACCACTGAAAACCACTAGTAAGTATATATCTCACATGTAATGGACAGCTGGGTAATGAGACGACGTGACTGATCATTATAACGTAGTGTCAAACTAATTCGGTAAGTCTATGTATCTTGAATGCTATTCATTATTAATGCACCACGGGATTGGAATGGATTTTTCATCGAGGATAAACAGTCTTTTTCACAGTTTCAAAAGAAATGTGAAAAGACTGTTACATATTGTCTGAAAACAAAAAGAATTATTACCACATTACTTCGAGCGTAAGAAATGAACGCTATAGAAAACTGACACTCGAGCTTTCAACGTCAAATCTTTGTTTACAGCAAAATGTCTTGCAAATATGCATTATGGAAGAAACCGTAATACGCTTTACTCATTTTGAAATAATGCTGCTAAACGTCGTTTATTTAAGAAAAACGGGCAACAGAGTTTCCACTGTGTTCTACTGGTAATCCACTCATCTGAGTTAACAAGGCGTTTAATTTTGCTTCCACAAAGTTCTGGGTTTGCGATTTCAACTGAAGTGGCTCACAGTTGGTATCGTATTGAAATCATGGGTTTAGTTACATCTGGGAAACATAAATTGGGTCTTTATGCGTTAGATGTTTCATCTGCTGTATAAACTTTACTACATAAGTAAAATCCAAATAAGGTGTAATCAGTGTAAATAATTTGAGCTCCAAATAACGTATCCCATCTGGAAAATGTTGGCAAAGTTGGCAGACAGTTGCCATCCAGGTCGCTCACCTTTTGGTTATATCATTTTAATGGCATGATCTGCTTCCTTTGAACATACTAAAAATTGGATCACTCGATCGATTTTTCTTGGAGCAGCAGCACTAAAACAAGTCCGACAAAAAACTTTGCCCTTCCTATGTGTACTTGGATGCTACTTAAGGATTTCATTTTTCTCTCCTGTTGCTTTTTTAAAATTCCATTAGGTCCTATGTTTACATTTAGAATTTGCCAACTCTAAACTGTGTTACATTGATCAATTTGTTGCCATCTGTTAATAAAGCCTGAGGAAGTTTTTCCCCTTTATATATATTTTTAAGAGGTGTTCACAATTTTTCTGATAGGCGACGTTGTGAGATTTTTTTTATTAGTGGCTTTGACGGAAATACATGCCAAGACTCGAAATGGCCTTGGATATTCCCTGGCGACAAACAATCAAATCCCAAATCCTGCATACATGCACCATGCATGCACTAACTTATATAAAACGGTACGGTACCCTTTCCCCCTCACAAGAAGCAATTTTGCCTGTAAATAACAGGTATCTTTGCTATTGGCGCGATTGCCATTAGAATCCCTCGCACGCACTTTTTGCCGAAATAAGCTCGTGAAATTCGATTTCCGAAAAGGCTACGATCTTGGCTTCGGAGGATTTTGTTTGCTTTTCAAAGGATAGTTAAGTCTGTCACGAGTCACGACGACTAGTCTTCTCTCAAGAACCTCCCCATACAGTTGTGTAATAGGTCCCCCCCCCACTATAAAACAAACACACTTGTCGAGCATGCCACGAAAAAGAGGGCTTGACACATGACGTAATAAGCACTCCTGATGTGGGAAAAAGAAAAACAGTGGCCACGCTTTATTGAAATTAAAATCGTATTTAATTACGCACACGTAGGCACATCCAAAATACTTTTGTGTCCCATTTTGTGTAAAAAAAAATCAGTCAGAATTAATTCTTACTGAACTGCAAATACTATTTTAAGCGGAAGTTTCGTTGATATTTCTCTTCGTGCGACAATTACAATGATTGCACTGCTAGTGGAAAACAGCTTCCTGTTGGAGACTAATTTTGCCCGTAACAAACAATATGTGCTTGAGGGACTATTTCTTTACCAACTACATCAAAGGAATGTGTCAGAAGGATGGGATTTTGCCATGAAGAATGAAAGCACCGCTGACTATTCAGTTTGCTCATAGTTTAAATCTTTACAACAGAATAGAAAAGGCGGAAATCCTGGTTGCCTGTTTTGTTATTGAAGGAAACCTTGCCATTATCTCGTCGGTTTGGTCATGCGGGTAGAAACCTCAATAGGGAACAACTAAAATAAAACTGCTGACATATACATGTACATTTTGATTACCCTGGATAATCCACTCAAAAAAGGGGAAAAACTAGCATGAATTTTATAAAATATTGATATCATAATGCATTGGCCATGTAAGAATTTTTTATCCTCCAGGTAATTTGCTAGCAAAAAACTTGGCCCTTCTTTTATTAGTTGGCTAACAAAATCAGTAAAGCTCAAATTCAGGAAAGGGGGGGTCTTTAAGCTCTGGTTTGTTTTTTCACTTTTGCGAAATAATTCGTGCACTAAATGCACTTTCAATTGATATGTTATTGTTTCAGCAGAACACCAAGTAGACCGTAGGCCAGAAATCAAAACTTGCAGGTTCGTTGAGAGTTTGGAGTGCCAACTTATTTTTGTTCTAACAAATACCTTACAGGGTTATGAATCAATATTTTGTCTGTTGCCATCTGGATATTTTGCTTGTTAATGTGAAAAATAAGGGCTAATAAATGCGAAAATGCTCGTGTTTTGTTCGCTTTTTCCAACGTGCCAATAGAGGGCGTTGAGTCCAACCTCGATCCTTTATCAGTTTTAGTTCATGAAATACATGTACCACCGCCCCACCTGGGGAAGAGTGGCACTCCAACTGAACATGGCGGCGTCTGCGTTTGCCGTACGAGTTTACGACTAATAAGGAGAAATTTCACAACTTACAGATAAGTTGGTTAAATGTGCGACATGTTGCGAGCAGTGGAAACAGTTAGAGAGATGGGAGAGAGATGTTGCTCTGGAAAACATAGAAATCGCGAAAAACGATAAACCTAAGCGGCGCATGGATTCCCGATCTTCCCATGCCAAGTGTTTGTCAGTATAATGTAGTTTGTGCCTCTCTTAGGGATCTAGGTTTTTCATGTCAGTTAAACAACCAGCCATTGTGCTGGTTCTGATTTAGGAAGCAGGTAACTTCAGGAAAATGTAGATTTTTGTTAGAGTCATTTCTACAAAAATAACAAAGTTGAATTTTTTTGGGGGGGGGGAGATTCCACAGCATTTCCGTGCAAATACAGTCATGACACTTGTTTTCCTAGTTCCAAATTGTTCGTAGTTCTGGATCGTTTGAATTTAAAACCTACCTCTTTTAGTGCTGTTCTTCAGTTCTACATTCGAAGGCAAGTTCTATTTGAAAGGTGACATGACTTGTTTTCAAACTAAAGACTTAGCCAGATTGCCGGTTCACACTTCGAAATTGAAGTTTGTAAAACCACTGCAACCAAGAAATCGACAACTGTCTACAGGGTGATAGGTCACCAATTTCGAGGGTTGTTTTTTTGTATCATGAAACCCAGGGTACGTTGGCTGGTTTATCCCGAAAATCACCTTGAATTTTTACATCGCTTATTTAAATCGCAATTAAAATCTAATTATTTTTTTAAATTTGAATGAGCAGATTTAATTTGGGAGGACAAAATGTTTCAATTTTCATTTTTTATCTGACTTGTAATTTTTCCAGGTTTTGCACATTCCACAGCATTCTTCCTCCTCGTTGAGCCCGTCAGTTCCTAGTTTTCACGGAATCTAAAGCACATTTGCATTACACACAATCTAGGCTAGCAGGGTTATTTTTCTCAATTCAAGTCCTCTGTTTCCACGTAAACTGGTTCGGTGCATGAATTCAAGTGAAGGATTTATCGATATGATTTAATCTCCCTAGTGGTATACAGATACCAGTGTACATCTACTGTACTTTTCGTCTCTAGAAGTACACATGTATTTCAATGACATTAGAAGTGTTGATTACAATTCAGTGAAACCAAAACCAGTAACGAAATTTTCTTTATCAAGTGAATTTTAATCAAGCCATAATGAGCTGGATCACAGACAAAATGAGTTTGCCTTTTGCACACCTACGGTACATATAGGAAATAGCCTGTAAAATTAATACAGGTCCACGTGTTTGATGACATTCTGCTCTACTCACTGGTTATTAGATACGAGTTCCTTATAAACCAATTCCTGCGAACTCTAGTTTGTCAAAACTTAACGTTTGGTTGAAAACCTGGTACGCACTGTCTTCTATGCAGGTACATGTTGGTTCTATACTCAAGGCATTTCACCTGGGCTTAGGCTGGGCACATCTGGTGGTATGTAATTTCAATTAAATAACTGGATTTTAAATTCTCATAAAATTGAAATTTGTTAAGTTTAATCTTTTAACACATGAAATAACTAAAAGAATATCAACAAATTTTACTTGCTTTGAAAACAGATACGTGTAGTTATGCTGACTTGTAAAATGATTCAAATTTAAAAAACACGTTTTAATTTTTTTTTTTATCACAAATTGCCAACCCTGAAGCAGCAAAAGCAGAACATGATGTGAACCATTTAATTGCAAGTTGCCAAAGACTCATAGTTTGGCATGATATACATTGTATCTGGGGTGTTTAGTATTCAGGGCTTATCAAAGCGGTCACGCTACACGTACGTGTATTTAGTGTCAATAAAGCGTCAATACATGTACATAGTGTCAACATTAACTTGAAAATGCCCTCTGAAGATTTAAGAAAAGTAGTTAATCATATTTAAGAGACTTTAGCAATCTGCCACTGTCTAACAGAGACAGTGAATTTGCATCTAGAAATGTTTTTCGCAATATAAGGGGCCTCATATATATCGCCATATGTTGGGCCTGGCGCTGTGGCAAAAGGCAAATTTGAATTTAGCACCCTAAAAAGGGATCAAGAGCACACATTTTCATGTTGCCACTGGAAAGTGAGAACGGACCTGTTTCTAGTGAGGGCAGGATTTCTGGCCCACGGTCTAAAGCTACTGCCAGCCGGCAGTGGTCGATGCCACTCTTTAAAGTGTTGCCTTTCATAAAAATTTTATATTCCTAGCTTAATTAACCGTCGATTGTTCAAAATTTCATTATTCCGAAGACTCAGAAGTCAAAAGGGTCAAGGATCCGAAGATTCGTTGTACCAAAGGTTTAACATTCCCAAGCCGAAGATGATCGTTTGTCCGAATGTGTGATAGTCCGATTGCTCATTAGCTCTTCAACATAGAATAATTCAAGTGATTCAAAGCTTCGATCTCCCGAATCTACAATAAACCTCAGTCATTCAACCGTACTTGATCTAGTTTCAGTAATGCTAAAACACAATTTTCTGAAAGGATTAATTAATAAAAAAAAGTCAAGTTTGGAGTTTCAAGCCTTAGATGCTTTAGAATTAACAAATCTGGGGACTATTGAACAGTGTGAGAATTTTGGATTTTTAAACTTCAGCATAAATTCAGTCTACTGAGCCATCAGACGATAAACCTTCCTTCCATAAAGTAGGACAAACCAATTTTTTTACTATAATACAGACACCACACTGAGTATATTACCTGGCCCTGGTCACCAACACGATACACCTTTGTTATCGTGTTCGTGATATACGGATATGTTATTAGCATATATCGCATATAATTATTCCCCCAAAATGTTGACCCACTATCTTAAGTGGATATGTAGTTCTGCTGCTCCATGTTTAAGGTCGTTGTACGCATAAAGCCATCTGGCCAATGCTACCATTTTGACTGTAGCATATTCTCTGCCTAAAGATTTTAATGTTATTTCATTGTAGTCCAGTAGATATTGCATTGTTTAGCTTACAGTTTTAATGGTACTGGGATGTCTGACCGATGTAGGCGTCATTGTGACCCAGTTCCAAATGCCGTCTATTAATAAGCTTCCCTCTCTGAAAGCAAGAAAACTTGACCTAACTTGGACTTGTAGTTTAAAACATATAAAACGAAGATGGAAAGGACACGAAAAGTAACTTAAGTCTGCATGATGATGTCGTCGTGGCGTTGTTTTATTTTTCAGCATGTTTGGGACCGTTTGGTGCCTACCCATCAACTTTAGTGATGATTAGCTGTCGCCTCGTATGTGTTATGAAAAATCACTTTCAATATTGGATCATCACCTAATTGTTTTCAAATCTATGCATATCATTTTCTCATATTTACATAATCCCTATTAACAACGATCTTCCTTTGCAGGAATCGAAATCTTCGAAACCATGAGGAAACCATGTAATAGACTGATGTTGGTGCGGATCATTGGGAGTACAATGGTGACAGTGACGTTGTTCAACTTCACTTATGCATGTGAGATTGTGTGCTTTAAGACTGTCAATCTTTCACTGCAAACAAAAACTGACTGGCTGTCATTACGTTTTGAATGATGTATACATCTATACATTGAAATGCTTTTAACAGATGATTCAACTTTTCAAGTGTGTTTCGGATTCTTCTTCGGAGCATCAGTTTTTACCCCATATACTTTTAAACCATTATCTTACATGTGCATTAAAGAATTTTTTATGCCGCTATTGGTGAACGTAGCATTTCTTTCTTTTCGTAGTGCAGAAGGACCACAACATCATTACTAACATTTCAAAGGGAGTCCAAGGAAGGTTTGCCGTAGTAGTGCACCATGTGAATGTCTGTTGTGCTTGAGGTTCTGAGAAGAGCCGGTGGACTCAATGTTTCGGACACGTTCTGTCTGTTGTTAGGGGCATGCGACAAGAGATGAAATTTACCAAATACGACCGCAAATCTTCCTTTGATTGCATATACTACATCCACCATACGATCTTAGAATCCTATTGAGGATTACAAAAAAGTGAAACACTAAAATCAATTTCCACAGATGAAATTATTAAGAATTAATTAACATAGAAGGTATAACAGGGAAGGTATTTGATTTCTCGGAAAATGTAACAACAATGTGCTTCTATAAGCCAACACAAATATAATTACCCAAAATGGGGACAAATACCGGTAACATACATTAACGAAGTGTTTAGATATTATTTGGTAGCACCAAAAATTGGAAACAATAGTTAAAAATACGAGTTGTCACATTTTAAAATGTATTTCATGGTCTATCAATGGTACTCCAGATTTTAAGAATTTTGAAAATACTCTTTTCTTAACTAAGTTTATGTGAAGAGTGATGGTGGGTATTTTGTTGTTTTGTTTTTTTTTTCACAACAAAAGCTGTCCACTGTTTGCAATTCCAACACTTCAATAGTGACACTCCCTCGTCAAACTTTGGGCAGCTTTAACGGAGGGAGAAAGTCGAGTCAGTCAGTATCAACCAATCAATCAATCAATTAATCCTATCTCACTTTAAACTGTGAGTAAATAATTCATGTTTCCCCGTTCTTACAATTCTTTTTCTTGCTTTTCTTCCTAAGCTCAACTTCGTCTTGTGGCCGGCAGGACGAGTAGTCAAGGTCGGCTAGAGATCTACGTAAACGGCGAATGGGGCACGGTGTGTGACGACTCGTGGGGTCTTGTGGATGCTCATGTGGCCTGCCGGCAACTAGGCTTTCCTGCGGGCGCCGTCAAAGCCACCTCAGGCGGGTTTTATCCAGGTGGAACAGGGCCAATACATCTGGACGATGTCGACTGTAGGGGATATGAAAGAGATCTCGTAGACTGTGATCATAGAGGAATTGGATCCCACAACTGTGGCCACGGTGAAGATGCAGGAGTCCTATGTAACACTGGAGGTAAGCTCTCATTTTTTTTTACAGCATACCATAGGCACCATGCATGGGGACCTGAATGCTGTAGAAGTCGTCGACCGGCAAGCAGAATAGAACCTGAAAGTAAAAGGTAATTCGGCGAGCTTCCAGGAACTTCGTGCGGCCCGCCTATTATGCTTGAGAAAACTTTACAAGGGTCTGCTTTGTCACATTTTTTCATATTTTCGGCATATTAAATTGTTTGCAGATTTAGCAAATGGAAGTAAAGGAACTGAAAAATGTTTCATTAGAGTAATGCTCAACCCCCCCCAAAAAAAAAATTAAAATTGAATAGGTACTTATTTTGCCACTCCGTCGAATCCAATTCCTGGGCGGTACTGCGCTATCCATTCTTTCTGCGGGACAGAGGAGACAAGATGTAAATATGCTTTTCGTTTTGCCTAATCATTAATTAGATCTGCATTTGAGCTAATATTGCTCTGTAGTGCGCTACCTAGTTGACATGAGTATGCTAATCCAATACAGGTTATTCAGAACAGAGCACCTCTGAGAGTTTGCAAAGCGTTGACCAATCACAGTGCGCGAAATCTGTCAACCCAATGCGCGTTTGGAAAGGGTCAACAGATTTCACATGCTGTGTTTGGCCAACGCGTTGCAAACTCTTGGAGGCGCTCTAGTTTGAATCGCCGGTATTCAATATTAAATGTCAGTGTGATAAATGATGGAACATTTTGGTTTGGGCAGTCCGTTTAGTGGGCAGTTCCAGCTCAATGGACGGTCGTGTAGAGGTGCTTTGGAACGGTGCCTGGGGGACCGTCTGCGATGACCTGTGGGACCTGAATGACGCAACTGTCGTCTGCCGTCAGCTGGGTTTTCTTGGTGCGTGGGAAGCTTCTACGTCTGCTACCTTTGGCGCAGGAGATGGGCTGGACATAGTGCTGGACGACGTCGCTTGCACGGGCAACGAAGGGACACTTTTGGACTGTGGACACGCCGGGCTTGGAGAACACAATTGTGGGCACAGTGAGGATGCCGGGGTCCGATGTGGTAAATTAAACATACCCAAATTACTACCTCATTAAAAATATTTCAAGTGAACAATGGACTCTCGGTAGTATTTGTGAGATTAGCATACAACCTTTTACATTCTACTTTTGGCCATATTTTACTAGCGTTGACCAAGTGTTGAGTTTATTTCTTACTTGTTCGTGGTATAGGTTTCCCGGCCTATTCAACCGGACAAACTGCTTACCGCAGTTAACAAACGAGAATTTTACAGAAAAATGACCCTATTAGGAACTGGGCCAAAATATACAATGGTATTGCCTAAATTACGTAACAGCTGCATCGTCATTTAGTGGGATCGTGGGCACATAACAGTGCTGGCTTCCGTTAAGCCTGCGTCAAACATTGTGCTTCTGCCGTGTCGAACGCAATTCCTTTAAATGCGGCAAACGTGCGACAGAGTCAGCGCTGGTGTCAAAAGTCGAAGTTAATTATCGACGATCGTTGAATTTCAGCGTAGCTGACATGGTGAAGAGAAAGAGAGACTGATGCCTACATGATTTCATGGAAAGCCGTTGCTATATTCTGCAGCAATACATGTACATCGTCGGTTTAGTTAATTGTATCATTTCCCTTTACAGTTAGTTTCGCCATTCCGTTTGATAATGTTACCATTCAATGGCAATTTCGACATTCAATTCGTCAATTTCAGAATTCAACTCGTCCTTCACCTTTTTTTAATTTCACCATTATTTCAGGCAGTTCCACCATTTCATTCGGCACGTTCCCCATTACATTCGGCCATTTTCACCATTCAATCCAGCAAATGCGACCTGCCCAGCAATATCGTTATTCGATTCGGCTGTGCACCATTCAGTTTTGTGGATGCACCGTAAGATTCTGTTATTTCACTTCCCAGTCTGGCGATGTTTCCCTTTCCATGTTCAGTCTCACAATTCTCGCAAAGTCTCACAAAGTCATGGATGTGCATCGATTCATCTTCCTACTCTGTTGTTTCATTCATAAAAAAATATTTTAATCGTTGATCTTCCCCCGTTTGCAAATTTGTATAGATTAAAAACAAAGGTTTGTGCCAAACAATCCTAGAGGCATGCACAAACAAACAAAAACTGGAAACCTTTTCAGGCGCTGAAATGGCACTTTGAGGTTTCCTTTATTACAGGACAAAGGCTCACCTCAGCATGTTCTTGATCAGTTAATGTCCTGATCCATTTCTGCCCATTTCCGAACAGGGTCATTGTTCTTTGAAAGCATCATTTGTTAACAGCGGTAGTCGGATCAGGTGGCCAATTTGGCAAAATAGCATCATTTCTATAAACGTGCGCTCTAATCTGTGCTCAACATTCAACAGTGTTTTTACTAAGGTTTCCTTCCTCACAATCATTGTGTTCACTTTCGTTTTTAGGTTCATTTCTGTTCCTTTTATTTTAGATATAAGCACTGAAGACTACATTTGCACCGTTTCTACTGTTTCTATTGTGCGGCCCTTTTTCCAAAAGAAACAATCAAATTTTACGTCGAATCACTGAAGCGCACAGAATTTCAAAATCATTGTTTTTGGGGTCAGCCTATTTCAAACTCCAAGAATTCAATTTAGATGGCTGTTAGAGAGTGGGTGTTGCCACAATTCTTTCCATTGATCGTGTTTGTCTGAAATACCAGACATTCTTGTTCCAGAATCATTTTCCGTCCAAATTTATAGCAGATCACAAAGATAAAGCAATTAACAAAGCTCGCAATCCCATGAACAAAATGGGACTCCTGTGAAAATTACATTATATCAAAAAAGGTAATACTGCAAAAAGAAACAGTAAAACAAATTTACAAGAAACCTTAAAAATAAACCTACTCGTTCAGCAGACAAACGCAGCTTGGAACAGTGGACCAAATACTCTATATGTTATCACTCCTGGAATTAGGCAAATGACGTCTTGGGAGACCCAAGGAGGTGCGGGTAAAATTTCCTTAAACTCCATCAAAAGATAATCAGTGGGAAGGCGAACTTGAGAACTAAACGAAGGCAAGAAACTTAAGAAGAGGTCTGACAACAGCGCTAAAAATTTTGACAAGGATATGAGAATCTTTACAGTTAACTAGACTTGGGATAACACCCGACAGCCTAGTTGCTTTTGAGACACTTGAATCTACACGATGATACAGATCTCTATAGAGTTCACAGAATTCATTTTATTTTGAGCAACGATTGTATTAACAAAGTATTTCCCTGCGGGTTTAAACGCCTTATCAAGCAAATGTTACATAAACAAAAATGAGAAAAACCCAAATGAGAAGACAACGTATCCGAATCTGCATTATGGTGTGTTTAGTTGATATGCGACTTGTTGACGGCGACACAATTAACGAGGGCAGGCTTGAACTCCTCCTCAACGATGAATGGGGCACAGTTTGTGACGACTCATGGGGACAAGAAGAAGCCCAGGTGGCTTGCAGGCAGCTCGGCTTCCCCAGTGCTATTGAAGCTACCTCGAGAGCGTCATTTGGTATAGGCGTTGGTTCAATACACCTGGACAATGTGGAGTGCACTGGCTCTGAAAGTAACTTACTGAGTTGTCAGCATAATGAGATCGGGGAGAATGACTGTGGCCATGGCGAAGACGCAGGAGTCATTTGCAATCCAGGTATCATCCCTGCTTTTTCTATTTTGTTCAACCCGCTGTGCATTCGGTTTACCCAAATAATTCTGAACGTACTGCTTGTTTAATGAGAAATTATTGCGATTTCTTCCCTAAAGTTCATCGGGGCAAATTGCTGAATTCCATTCCAATTATTTTGCACTTCAAGATTATACATCGTTTGCCGCAGTTCATTCCATGTCTGAGAGGATGAAATATCTGTTTTGGTGGCGTGCACAAGAATGCTGAACGCTTTTAGCATGCTTATGGATATCTTACGAAGAGTCCTCCTTTCACGTTAAATTGACCGGATCCTGGAATGGCCAATCATCTACTAGGTGTTGGCTGTTGGGGAAAGGATGGACATAAAAAAATCACTTCGGATTATTTTATTTTGGTTGTCCATGTCACTTGACTCGATCTTTCAGCGAACATAAAAGATGTTTATCACAAATAATAGTACAAAGTAGATTTTCTGATGGCTAGCATTGAGATTCCCCGACGTGATCTAACTGCAAGTTGAGTCTTAATTTGTGCGTTGTTTGTCATTTCAAGTGCGATTCGAACCATCAGCGTTCTAATTAACTCTTAAATTTGAGCGTTGAATATCAACTAACAAGATATTAACCTGCACATTATTTTTTTTAACAGTTTGAATTTGATTAATTTCAAAAGGTTGAACTATTGCTATTGAATGTTGATTCTTAATCCTCCGCTATGACTTTTTCTAGACAAACTCCGTCTCGTTGGGGGCGCTAATATTAAAGAAGGTCGGCTGGAGATTTTTCTCAATGGAGAATGGGGCACGGTCTGTGACGACTCTTGGGATATCGAGGACGCCCGTGTGGCTTGTAGACAGTTGGGTTTCTCCGGTGCTGTCGAAGCTACCCAAGGAGCTACGTTTGGAAGTGGAAGTGGCCCAATTTACCTGGACGATGTCGCTTGCGGTGGACATGAAAACGACTTGATGACTTGTGTGCATAACGGCATTGGAGTTGAAAACTGTGGTCACAGTGAGGATGCGGGAGTTATTTGTGGTATAAAAGGTAAAATCTGTCGCTTTCGAATATTTCCAAATCTCGCAAAAAAGAACCAGAAGCTAATAAACCAGTTTTTGGCAGTTTCAACAATGGCTTATTCTATTAAAATAACACATAATAAGATTAACTTGGAAACCAGCAGACAACTTACCTGAATCTGGTTTTTTGCTATGTTTAGTTGAGATCCGGCTTGTTGGCGGCGACACAAAAAACGAGGGCAGGCTTGAGCTCCTCCACAACGGCGAATGGGGCACAGTGTGTGATGACTCGTGGGGAATAGATGACGCCCAGGTGGCTTGCAGGCAGCTCGGCTTCCCCAGTGCTATTGAAGCTACCTCCAGAGCGTCATTTGGAGAAGGCGTTGGTTCAATACACCTGGACAATGTGGAGTGCACTGGCTCTGAAAGTAACTTACTGAGTTGTCAGCATAATGAGATCGGGGAGAATAACTGTGACCACAGTGAAGATGCAGGAGTCGTTTGTAATCCAGGTATTCTCCATGGCATTTCTGTTTGGACCAACCTGCCTAAGTTCATCTCATTGCTATGGGCGCCATTTGAGCAAGCAATACGCCTGCGCGGTTCACGTTAATGCTTAGGCGCAGGCGCACCAGGTGTACGTGCATGCCGCGGTGCCTGCGCCTGTGCGTAAATGTGCATTGCGCAGGTGTTTTCCTTGCTCAAATGGCGCCTATGTGATTACAACATTTTACGTGTATTCACGGTGAAGTTCTTCATCTTGCGCCACTACGCTGCGCTATACGATCTTTGATAATGACCAAAGCAACATATTGACGGTATGAGACTTACTAGATCAGTTTCCTGGCGATTGAGATTTACTTTAGGATGCTGCCGTAAACAGCAGAATCTCAGACAGAAACAGGAGACAACATTTTTTCAGGTTTACATCTTTATAAACTGGAAAGAGTCTTTAGCATGTTACAAAAAATCTAAATTGACTGCTAACACTCGGAAACCTCACTGGGAAAGCTAATGTAAATGTAGAACCCATCAATTATATGTAGCTGTGGATTTTTTCGCATCGTATTTTCACATTAGTCTACTGAAAATAGAGGAGTGCATCAACATAAATAGGTACAAGATTCGTCCGCCGAGCTCAATAATAAAAGTTATACACTCAAAATATTCTTCATTAGAAAGTTGTAAGAGCCCTGAAATTTGGGAATAGATTAAATATTGGTTGGAACCATTGGCCTGGACTTGGAACTTCTAATTCTGAGCCATTTGGGTGCATTTGGCTTCGAAAGTGACATTATTTGGCCGTTTTGCAGAGGGATGGTTTTTCAAACGGCTATTTTTCTGGGCGGGGACATTTCCTTCATTTTAGAGGTGGCCTGCTTTGGGTAAGAAATTCTCAGAACTCCATCAGCGGTCAACCGACAAAAATTGAAAGAAAAATGTTGAACATTGTTTTTCTTTGCAGCCTGAACACGTGTGAGAGTTGTGATTGCTTTTAAAATAATCGTGAGGTATGGAGATTTATCACTGCTGTCTATGGGAATTCATTTGTTGTGGTGCACCCATAACGGGCTAAGACACGGAGACCTGGGATCAATAAAACTTGATCTGAAAGGTTGCAAACGAGTTGGTATTTATTTTGTGACATATTTTAAATAAACAGGTTTTCCTCAAGCTTAGTTGAAGAGCGCCACCATAAATTCCAGCACGACAATTTCTTGGGTTCCGATTGAGAAATCAATCTGTAAAAAACGATACGGCAACCTGACGTGAATACCCAAAGGCGGGCAGCACGAGGGCTCCAAAACCTGGTTGTTACTTTCAGGCTCTATGGCCCGAAGAAATCAACGCACAGCGCATAGACACGATAAAAGTGTTGCAGACAACCCAAAACCTACATATGCCTGTTATTATTTTTATTCTTTTAGGGCATACTTCTAAAAGTCTGAAGACGTCCTAAAAAGCTTGAACTATGTAGGGCTCACATTTTGCATGTACAAAGAGATTGAATGGCTTTACCAACGACGATAAGTAAGTGTGGTTAACCCCCCCACACACACACACACACGCACACACACTGAAAAGTATACATAGTCGCGATTGCATTCATTTTTGAAACACTGTGACATTTTACTATCATTCCCAGATCTTCTTTATCTGACTTATATAGATATACTCCGTCTCGTTGGGGCCGCTAGCTCTAACGAAGGTCGGCTCGAGATTTTTCTCAATGGAGAATGGGGCACTGTCTGTGACGACTCTTGGGATATTGAGGACGCCCGCGTAGCTTGTAGACAGTTGGGTTTCCGCGATGCCATCGAAGCTACCCAAGGAGGGTCATTTGGAAGTGGAAGTGGACCGATCTACCTGGACGATGTCGCTTGCGGTGGACATGAAAACGACTTGATGAATTGTGTGCATAACGGCATTGGAGTTGAAAACTGTGATCATATCGAAGATGCAGGAGTCATTTGTGGCCCAACAGGTAATACATTGTATCTGCCCGTGTTCAAATCTGTTGAGATCTTACTGATGTCCGTCACGGACTTTGATCTACCGAGAGCTCGAACGCCTTTCATTGGGTGATCGAGACGGCGTATGATATGACACATATCAATTCTGTGATGTCTTCAAATCGATATAACCAAATCATTTTGTTTTTGTTGCTCAAAGCCAATAAGTCTCGTCTGATATCATTTAATTCATTATTTCTTAGTTAAAACAACTAAATTAACAAAATTTCAAACATCACACGCTCATTCTAGGTTGAAAACAAGAGTTGATTATAAGGATGAGTGTCAAAATACGTGGAAAAAAAGGAAATTAAAACATCCCTGACGAATACCAAAAAGGAGTTGATCACTGTCAGAACTGAAGCTCTTACAACAAAATATCAATTACATTGGTTTAACTCTCTAAAAACATTAAAAGACCATTAACTGTTATATAAAAATGGCATCGTCTTCGACTTCTAAAAATTGCATTGCCTTTGAATTGTGACAATATCATTTATAGGTCCGAGGGCTTCCGGCAGTATATAATCATATTCCGGAGTGTATGTACACAGACAAGGTTTGAGATGGACTCTTATAATGAGAAGCTCAAGGTGGCTATTGATCCGTCAGTAACTTCATTAAAAGCGACATTTGTGCATGTGTGTGTGTTTAGAGCCAAAACACAAAATTAACGCTGGGAGGTATTCCTTCAAATTTCAATTTTTTAATATTTTATGGTTCTTTTGATCACATTTGTAAACAGGAAAACATTGCTCTTGTGGGTTTCTTCTGCCAGACCTCTTGGTAATAATGTAATTAATAAACAAATAACTGCGAAAGCAGCAATTTTAAAACGTTTAAATAGTCGGACTTTTTGGCTTCAAAGAACCTTGTTTTAGTGGACCATGTGCCCACGGAGCATCTTGCATCAATCTATCGGATGGGTTTACCTGCCATTGTCCTGATGGTTATGGCGGAGTGGCATGCGCAGAAGATCTGACGATCACGTCAACATCTTCAATAATAGGTGGGTTTTTGTAAGTGGTTACATGGGTCTTACATGATTCGGGTCCTCCCTAAGGCTGCACATGGATTCTTGTGAATGATTCACTTTCGGCTAACAGGACCAGGCATTTAGGTCGGTATACACTCCATTCAGATTTGAAAACGAAGCGAATTTTTGGTCAGGGAACATACTGTATGAAATGTTCTTCTGTATACCTGGCCATTTACTCGCAAACACCACATTAACTCCTTTGAATCTGTAAAGAAAAAATGTTCAACCCCTAAGAAAATGTTTTGAGAGTTGCATGCGTCAATCCAAATGCATATTTGAATTTAGTATTAAATTCATCAAATGTGCTTTTCTGAACAGTTGCTCACTGCGCGACCAGCCTCGACCATTCCGACCATCTGATGGTGGTATCAGGCCAGCAGGCTGTCTACCTTCCTGGTGACTCAGTTGAGTATGACTGCCCGGATGGATATCATCTCAGCGGGTCCGCAACTAGGTTTTGTCAGTCAGACTTGACATGGTCGGGACAGCCAGCCGAATGCAACATAAGTAGTCCACTTTTTTTTCTTTCTTACATGTCAGTGTTTAATTGATGCTATCCTTTTTGTTTCATGAGTTCCTCTGGTTTTTCACTTTATTTATGCTGACTTTTAAAACTTTAAACTAACAAATGAATTCAAGATGTGTCAGAAGAAGTGAAGTTAATGTCAAAACAATAAATGAAGCTGAGACTGATTGATTATGTGGCTGATGCACCACTGCAAAAACGTAAAGCGGCACAGGGTGCAAACCTTGTTTATTTCATTAACTTTTTGAAAAAGTTTTTCAAAACTGTTCTTTTAAATCAATAAAAAAGTTAACTCAGAAGACCTTCGGACCTATATATATATAGGAAACTCCACGAATCCTTTTTATTTAGCCGTATACGCGTTCAACTTGTAATTTGTATGCCCACATTTATACTTTTTGACCTACTGAGCCTCCGCAAAGGCCAAAATCTATGAGAACCAAGGAGATTAAAGCAAAAAGACTTTGTAGTGCCAACACATTTATATTTCAAAAGTATATTTTTTCATGTTCATTTTAATGAAGTATTTTTTTCAATTTGGTTGAATGAAGTATTTTGGATCAACCTCGATTTATGAGAATTATTTTCACGAGTATTAAGTTTGTTTGTATGACTTCGTTTTTCTCCAGTTCGTTCTGATGGAATCTGTTTTTACAAATGCTGCGTCTGTTATTGGAAACAAATCGTTTTTGCGAGATATATTTTTGATCAAGTTTGTTTTAATGAAATATATTTTTCCCAATTCATTTTTCAAAAGATAGATATTCTTAAATTTGGATTTATTTCTACACTACACTAGATTACAAGATAAAGTACGTCATCAACGAACTTAAAAAAATCTTTAAAATCTCTTAAAAACGAACTAGAAAAATAGATTTGTTCCCAAAAATGGAAAAAAAAATATTTCTCAATACAGACCTTAAAAAAACGAATTGAAGAATGTATGTGTCAGAAAAACGAACGTTAGAAATACAGCTCTTAAAAACCAAACAAAAATTAAATCTCTAAAAACGGACTTCAAAAAATAGTCATTCTTTTCTGAAAAGATATACTTAATGGCACTACAGGGCTTTCGTAAATAAGGTCCGTCCTCAACTAATTTCAAAGAGTTTCATTTTCGTAGATTTTTGTGCCAATGAGCCTTGTGCAAATGGGGCAACTTGCTTCAATGCGTTGGATGGGTTTACGTGTTCATGCCCGGATGGATATGATGGACTGACATGCGCAGATGGTAT